AGTGGCGCGGTAAATATTTTTTACCAGGTATTGTTTTTGTCCATGACGGAAATGGATTCTTCTGCCAAAAATGGGCCTTGAAACGTTTTTTTTTTCATACCGACGGAAACTCGACGAGATACAGACTTACACACCTCTTGCGAGGAAGGCGCCCCCGGCACCCACAGACAGAGGAACATTCTGTTGTTATCTGTCTCTCCCAGCGCGTACCACCCTCCTCCCTGCGAGGGGGTCAGGACTGAGGTGAGACGGTTAGGGGGCAACAGGCACGATGCGCTATACTCTCGATTTCCTTCTCGTGTTGTCCTAGAAAATGCATATATGTGCTGTTGGTCGGAGGAAACATTCCGACAGGACGATGTCTGTGGTTGGGCAAACTGCCGGACGTGAGTGATAGGACCGTGCTGCCATCTGTGGTGCCGAACCCGAAAAGTGATGCCCCGCTAAGCCTCCTTCCGCAATTGGTGAAGGTTACTTTCTTGCCTCTACGCCGTGCCAGCAATCGTGCTCTCCTCATATTTGTTCCTATATACACAAACGCAACGAGCTGGTGGTCGCCCACTCCGCTCATCACCTCAACGCTCGCAGATGTCCAACCCTCGCTTCCATGTTTACCCCCCCCCACCTTTTCCTCCCAACTCCCTTGCGATCTCCAGCCTGTGATGATGGATGATTGCAGTAAGGGCTTGATCCAGATCGTTCAAACGCACATTACGTGGCCGCTGAAACCAAACACATGAAGCAGCAGGGCCGTGGTGGTATTCTTAAGTGCATGGACACACAGCACTTGCGTAGTTTGCACATCTTGAACGATCGCGAGCAAGAGAGCTGTTGCGGTTTTGGTTTCGCGCGCAAGGGCACTAGCAGAGAAGAGCGCTCAACCAGCTCTTTGCGAGAGCTGCCCGCTCACAGCAGCAGCAGCAGCAGCAGCAGCAGCAGCAGCATATCGAAGCGCTAAAGCAAAAGAAACGTGCCCACACCAGTTTCACAGCAGCACCAGAGACAACAATCGATGCCCGCTGCTCTCGCTTCCCCAGAGGGGGTTCCGATGAACGAAGCGAAAAGGCCACCTGCTGCAGGACATAGCCCGCGTACCGAGACAGGCCGCATCACTCACGACTCCGGAGAGGTTCATCGATACCTTTGAAGGCAACAAACGACTGGAACGAGACACACACTTACCACCGGCTTATGCGGTGTTCGTTGCATACCACGGGCATGTTGTCTGCACACATACACTACATGCGGCCAGTTTTTGTTTTTGTGCTGTACCGGAAGTATTGTTTGCTGCCGATGATTGCCGATGAATGGCGCGAGGCGCTCTCACTAGGCTTATGCCTAAATGCGGGCATTGCTTTCGACCTAACCGAGCTTCGCGTGCATTAGGACACGCATTATTTCGCCCGTGCATACTTCTTTTTTTGGCGCATATTATCGCGCATATGTGGGCAGAGTATGCATTTGCTCGTTTCATTTAGGAGATAAGGGTAGATCAGCAGTGAGTCAGGCGCCTCCTGTGGCCCCAGCAACTTGAACAAAAACTTGAAAAACGCCTTCGCTGTGAGCAACTTTTTCCTTAAACATCATCCATGGTGGAACTTAAGTAACGACAGCGGACCTGCGGGGGGGGTTTTGGGGGTTTGGGGATTTGACTTGTTTTTTTCCGCGCCAAGAGAACACACAACAGCTGAACAGCTGCACCACAGACCGCAGACAGCCAGACCACCGACCAAAGACGAAAGACCACAGCACAGCAGCACAGCACAACTAGCGAAGGCAGAAGGCAGACCGCGATCCACGATACTCGATCTTCAACCAGGGCAAGTGCCGGATCGACTCTCGTGGCATACGCTGCAAGCAGCTCGGATGATGAGGACCCGCAACACCGCTCTCCACGTTCGAGAAACACGTGTGCGAAGACGTGCTCCCCGTGCAGACGTACACCCGGGAGAGGATCGGGGACCATCCCAATGCGGAGCAACGCGAGAGTATCGCTCTCTTCCAGGCTGCGCGGCTATTCGACTTCCGCCATGTGAAGCAGCATCGGTTGAATGTTGCTGACATCGACCTCCTCGATCGCTTCCCCTTCGGTGCGGAAGATGTCGTCGCGAGACTAAAAGATCAGATGGTTGACTATACAGTCGAACCTCGCTTAAGTTAACGAAAATTAAGTTAACTCCCCCAGTAAAGTTAACAATTTTTTTCGGAAACATGGTGCCCCGCAGAAAGTATTGCATACAGGGGGGGTAAAAATACAGTCCACGGACCCCCTCAAAACCAGCAGCAGCAGCAGTGCTCTCACTGCTCTGTAGACCGCCAATAAGAGGTCTGCTGCTGCACCTGCTGTCTGTGGGTATGGAGAGATTCCTTCCATCCAGCGGTGCATCGTCTGCGCCTGGCAAAAAACGATGCGAGGAGCCTACATGCACGGTACCGGACTCCACGGACGATGAAGATGGTGGGGGTAGACCAGAGTCGTGCGTAACATCTTCGATGACAGAGGCCGAAGTTCGCGGTAGCCTAGAGAAGGTTTGCTCCTACTTGTACGCGAACGGAAAGGATGGGGAGTACCGCGAGACCCAGTACCTGCTCTCGAAAGTTGTGCATTCGTTCACTCACGAAACTCAAGTGAAGCGGCGAGCCAAGGAGGGGGGGGAGCTGCAGGCAACTCTGCGCGACATGTGGAGGTCGTAGAGTGTGCGGTACAAACGACCAGAGCTGTGTTTGGGGTGGCCTATGTATGTCTTGAATGCGTGGGACCGCATGAGACTACTACACAGGAGTGGCTGTACATTGCGATCGACGAGAAATGTGTGCGTGGGTTCAAGCGTTCCAACATAGCATCTTGGTTATAGTGTTGTTTAGTAAAATGGACATAAAAATATGCTCCCTCTCACTTTTTTCAGTCTCCTCTCTCGTCAAACACGTAGTGGAGCCCAATGCGCGTCTATTGAGGTATTCACCGCCTCTATTGGCCCCGGGGATGGTGAGTTGTGGTCCCCTGAATTTTAAGTTAACTTCCTCGCCTTAAGTTAACTTTTTTTCGGGAAAAACCATGTGTTAACTTAAGCGAGGTTCGACTGTACCGTATATGACACAAGATAACACACCCCCTTGACCTATTTTCGAAGCTCGATATCTCAACTGCAGGAGCAGTCACAGCGCCGAAAACGGCGGCGTTGAAACCGTCTCGTCGAGAGCTTTTCGAAAATGTATGGTTTCGTATATGCATCCTCTTCGTCGTGGAGTAATCGAGCTTTGAAAATCGGTCCGGGGGTGTGTTATCTTGAGTCATATACGGTAATATCGCTGCCTCTGAAGTTGACACGGGCCACGACTTGTGGGCATTCTGGCATGACAATGGGCACAAGAGAAACCTTTCTCAATGGTATCAAGTTGCGAAAGACATCGCTTTGCTCCAACCGTCCTCTGCCTTCATGGAACGTGTTTTTTCCATCCTGCGTGCTTTAATGGATGCAAGGCAGGAGAATAGTTTGAGCGACCGGGTGGCTTCATCCGCGCTTCGTAAATACAACAGAGGCCGGGGAAAATAGAAACAGGGGAATGGAGCAAATAGGGCGTGCTGGGAGCTGGGGAATGGTGTAGCCATCATTGTGGCTGGTGTTCACGTGTTGTCCGTTCGTCTGTGTGTTGCTTCTTGAGTGGTACACTTGTTGCTTCCTCCGAAGGATCAGAGGAGCACAGAGCACAGAACACAGAATCATAATCAACAACGTTGCCGCAAGTGTTTAACTGTGTCGGCAAAGACAGGGGCACGTGCGTACCTCGCGCGTTGACCCTAAAATGCTATTTATATCGATTCCGTCGGCAAAAACAACCGTGCATGAGTTCACGCACAATAACTGGAAAACGAGCATTACTGCGCGCATAACTCGCTGCTGTAAGCACATGCTCGGCCGAAAAAATAAGAAGAAAAAAAATCGCACATTAGGTATAAGCCTAGCTCTCACTCATCCATCCCCCCCCCGGACAGCTCGAACAGCACTGCTTCTCTACTGTGTCGTCTAATCTAAGCATGTGTACCCTATCGTCGAAGCCATGCCTCGAATCGCGAAGAGTTTTTTGCATGAAAGGGCACGATCTGCCTGTTGTTCTGTCGATGGAGCATTGGCTTCACAATACGGCGCTCACGCATTACGTTGTATGCGTCTTGCAGCTTCACCGCTTTTTCTCCTCTCACGCCTCGGACAAGCCAGGCGGGGAAAAAAAAGCCGAAACAACACTCTCGGTCTCTCTCTCTCTTTCTGTCTCCCTTTGGTGGGTGCATTCCTCTTTTGTGACTGCGGCGGCTGATACGCCGAACATGTTCCGAGTCAAGTGAACGCTGGCGTAACGAAGGACGAACACACCCAAAACCATCCACCACAATTCAGTGAGGGATTTGATTTCACACTCGGACCGAACGAAGCCAAGTGTGGCAGGGGAGGCATCAAACCCTTTCAACCTTTCCCCCTGTGGACTTTGGCCAATGGTAGTCATACCTCGGAAGGTCTACGGAGGTTCCTCGCAAGTCCAACCCCCCCCCCCCACACACACACGGTTTTGTTCGTCAAAGAAAAGGGGGAGATGTAGCAGGGTAAATGACATGTCCATGAGCGTTCGCCGCTGCGGCAGAATTCGTTTCAATCCTGTCGTGTACTTCGCTTCAGAAATTTACGTATTTCCCTTCATTCATTTTGCCAAAGCCAGCTGCGAGTGTGTCGTGGCTGGTGCATCGCGATACTTTGTCATCATGAGACACTTGAAACGTGGAGTTCTCTTGCGGAGGAACACATCACCCATAATCGCAAACACGGCTATAACACGGCGGTGGACTTGGCCGGAGGTTGCTGCCCTCCCCACCTTTCCGAAAATGCGGCAAAACATCACCACGCCTCGTCTGATTGGAGGGCCTTGTATACCGAATTACGAACACGCGGTAACAACATCACCGCACTTCGTCTGATTTGAGTTCCACCCCCACCCACCCCGCCCGCCAGATGGGTAACTCCGCCGGAAAGTCCTCAGATGAGTCCTTACGAGAGGCCGTCCAGATGCTCCTAGAGGTGCCCATGGTGGGGCCCGCCGCCGCGGCCGCCCGCGCGGCCGCGGCCATCGGGCACGACGACGGGTTCTCGTCGGAGGAGGAGCACGCGCGAGCGGTGGCGGAGGCGGGGGAGGAAGCGGCGGCGGTGGTAAGGGAGGAGGAGGAGGCGGTCTGGATGGGGGTCTTCGGCTGCGCCATCGAGGAGGGCGAGTTCTTCGAGGTTAGTATGTAACGCAAGCGGGGGCGGGGGTTACGGTTGGGGTTGGCACCAAAGAGGTTGTTGCGAACTGTGGGGGGGTAGTGGCAGGAAGGGTTAGCGCTAGCGACCGCTTGGGCGGGGGGGGGGGGTACTCATAGTCGTGCATGGCGTAGCCGTTAGACCATTGACCTCGCATCCCTACAAAGCCGGGACGGAGCACGCCGGGTTCTCACCGGACCAGGCTCTCACATCACCAAGCGCGAAGCGCCGTGAGATATTCGGCGAGT